CAGCAGCCCAAGAAACGCACCCGGGTGCCTTTGAAACGCATCACAGGGGTCTTGGAAACGCACCTGGGTGCCCTCAAACGCACCCCACTCCCTCGGGGGTGCATTCATTAATAGTGTCCCTGGGTGCTTTTGAACGCACCCCGGGGTGCGTTTCGGGGTGCGTTTTGGGTGTGGTGTGGGGGTGCGTTTCGGCCCTTACAGGTTGCAAACGAAAAAGCAAGGAAGGCCGATAAATAAAAGTATATTTGGCTTAGGAATATTGCAGAAACCCTTATAAAGTCTTTATGAACCCATATAAACCCTTCAATATGCTATTCTTGTTTTACATCTTATCCATTTACATCCTATTAATTGTTATCTGTTCGATTTTTGAAAATCCCGTAAATAATTTCCATACTTTTGCCAAAAGTAAAACACAAAACATTTGAAGCCCTGATAAAATATGAAAATCAAAAAATTAGACAAATCATTTAAAACTCCAACACAGCCTTATCACCCACGCTACTGAAAGTGGAGCTGCCGGATGGCATCAATTCGGTATATAAAACATATCTGTAATACTCCTATGCCCAACTTACTTTTATTTATCGGCTTTCCTTTCCTATTCTTTGCACCGCCTTTGGGGCCGGAACGCACCTCAAACCACACTCTAAAACGATCTCGAAACGCACCCAGGGTGCGTTCAGGCACCTGGGGTGCGTTTGAAAGGCACCCCGGTGCGTTTCAAGACCCCTAGGTGCGTTTCTGGGTAAGCAACCTGCGGGCTGTAGGGTGCTATCCATACATACTTACGACTCACATCATAACTTGTGCTCTAATAATCCCTGGGCTCTCTCCATTGGATTGTAGCGCTCATTTATCCTAAAAATGGGGTTCAATTTGCAAAATACCCACCATTGCATCTGACTTTCCAAAAGATCCAGCTGGAAATGAAGCCGAGGATTTGGATGGCAGCCTAAATTGATTTTCCACTCTTTTCACCAATTAGATGAATTTTAACAAGCTTGAACACTCACGAAAACGATCATAAACGCTTGCATGGGCTTGGTTTTTGGTACGAATTGTAAGAACGGCAAAGGCGCGAGGAGACCGTTGGCAATCCAGACGTAAGTCTAAATTTTTATTTTTTTGGGTTTTTTCTGTTTTTGTTCGTCTTTCCGTGCTGTGATATTACTAACTAAAGAACGTTCGATAAAAAAAAACTGACACCTGGTTCTTTTTGCAGACGGAATGCTGACTTCTGGCTGTTTGAACAAAGAGACCAATCAGGCCAACGAACAGCAAGTAGAGCAACGCGCCCATATGACGGTATAAAAGATAGAACCAGCACTGGAATTTGGGGTTCCAATCGAATACACTTTTGTAGCTGAGTGCGTATATACAAGAATACCTTTGAAGTACAGCCACAACATCCACAGCATAGATAGCCATTTGGTTCCACGGCAGCTTTTGGGTGATGGTTTGGGCGCCAAAGCCAAATCGGGAAGCCCATGGCAATCGAATCGATTAAAAAGATATGGTGATTGTGGTCGGCGGTTCGGGATGAACGGCCCAAAATGAGGGCACCAAAATGTGCGCGAGGAGAAAGGGAGCGAGTGTCAGAGAGATTTCCGGATGGACGTATATTACTTCGTAATGTGTTTCCGTTCAAACCGACTTGGATTCTATTTTTATCGTTTTCTATGTTTTATGCAGGTTTATGGTTTTTTGGGTTGGGGGATTTGCAAAAAAAGTTATAATTTATCAGAATCGAGAGATCAAATCGAAAGTATCTATACTGTCCAGGCAAGAGGAGACACGCGTGAATTAAGTAATGATCGGACTTCTCAAATACAGGGTGTCCCAAACCCCCCCTCTAGCGGCGCCCAGACGTGTCCGATTCTCGCCGTTTAGGTATCTATCGAAAGCTCTCGAAAAGGCGCGAAAACATGGAGGGTTCATTTTTTATTATGTATTTTTATTGGCGAATTTAACCTCCAAAATCCATGAAAACGGCTGATTTACGCGAGATCCGCATGCTAATTGCGAAATTCCTATTGAAAAGATACCTGTTTTTTCGAAAACGCTGAATATCGGACGAATCAGAATAAATCTTAGAAAATGAAGCCCGCTTGTTTTCTCGCCTTTTCGCGGGCTTTCGAATGGTATAAAAATCATCCTGATCTGAGCTTCCCACGGACCGCTAGAGGGGGGTTTGGGACACCCTGTAATATGTGCAAAAAATTCAGTTTTGAAATCGATCTGAAAGTTAGGTTTTCATCATTTGGCTGTACAGCGGTAGCTGCTCGCTTTGTTCAATCTCCAGCTGACGATCCCTGAAAAATCAATAGTGGGATCTAGAAGTTGAAGCGCATTGCGCTCAGCTATTCGAAAAGTATATTACCTGACGTAGCGATAGTACTGGATCACCACAAAGTCCATCCAAAGCGTAAATAGCATTGAAGGGAACATTGAGGAAACGCTAGCTGAATGGACCGAATTTAACCGTAACCGCTCTTTGCTTACAATCCCGCCCTATTTCCTGCAGATGTCCGCCCTTTCTGAGCTGTACTCCATAAGACGGCGATTCATTCTAAAAAGGGTGGCAGAAAATTTAAGATGATCAAATTCTTACGCTTGGAGTTCTTCCCAAAAAATCCAGCTTAAAATGAAGCCAATGATTTCCAGGGTGAACTAAAAATATAGAAATTTTTTGTACTAAAATGGCCGTCAAATAAGCCTCGATACTCGCAAAAACTCACAAAAATTATCATGAACGCTTGCATGTAGCTTGGTGTCAACGTCTGTATCGCCCGCACGGCATAGAACACAAAAAGAGCAGTAACAAGCCAGAGGTAAAACTGAATTTAATACGATTTTTATCAAAATTTTCAAAAGTTTGAACCTTTAAAAACCTACTCCTGGATGCTTTAGCAGAACAAGGATGTAATCGGGTTGTAGAAGGAGCAGCAAACCGACAAGGCCAAAGAAAATGAAGCAGATCAGGGCCCAGATAACCGTATAAATCGTGAAGCAACACTGTTCGATTGAATTTCAGACAAAAGGATTAAATTTCTTACTTTTTTGAGGTGCATCCGCAACATCCACAGCAGAGATACCCATTTGGCTCGACTGGGGTCCAGGGCTGATGCTCGGGACGCCAAAGCCAAATCGGAAAGCCCATGGTTACCTGGATTAGGAGTTTTAACAGTTTAACTTTAAAACATTTCCAAACCAAATTTGAGGCGCTGAAGCACGCGATGCTGCTCACTATGCGCATCTAGGAGAAGAGGCTATGGAGGGTGCAGGGTGAGAAAAGGGCGGGCAAGCAAGAAAGATGGAGAGACAGAGAGAGAGAAAGAGGAGAGAGAGAGAGAGAGAGAGAGAGAGAGAGAGAGAGAGAGAGGGAGAGATGGAAGGAGAGGAGAAGAAAGGGGCCGGCGGGCCTTGGCCCAACCGCGCCCCTTTCTCGTGGATTTTTGGCCTGGCCCCCGGAAACCCCCGGGGTCTATTTTAAGAAGCCGCATCTCAGGCAGTTGGCCACGCCAAAGAAGAAACCAGCAGCATGCCTACGTCATACCCGACGACATTTTCAGTTAGTAGGCCGGTGGTGGCATTGCTACATTTTCCAAACAGCGTTTTATTTGCACTTGGAAATAAGCGGTGTAAGAACGGATAAAAATCACAACCGGGGGCAGGCAAGACAAAAATAGCGATATAAAGACAGTTAAAATATAAGGCATACAGTAGGCAGATAAGCTTGTGATTTTTGTCGTTGTTTTTGATGAGGCTTCTTGGGGGGCTTCAAGCCTTCAGCGGTTGATTATGGAGGGGCAGCTGACCGCTTTGCTCCTCTTCAATCTGCCGATCTCTAAAAAAATTTCAGAATTATTTTTATTTAAGGACTAAAAATGGTTTTTAAGCAGCTCCTTCAATTTCCAAATTACCTGATGTATCGATAAAACTGGAAGATGACGAGGTCGGCCCAGAGCATGATAAGGCCGGCTAGCACAATGGAAATGAGCTCTAGAAATCAGAGCTACAAGCGGGCATATGCGTTGATTACCATCGATATCGACCCCTGGCTTAAGTTCTGCTTTTGCTGCCCGAATTCGGAGAGATGACTGTTCATGCTGAAATCACCGTTAAGCGTCTTGGAAAAATTGTTACGATTCCATGTGATGATCCCAGAAGACCAAATTGGCAATCAGGCCGAGTATTTCCGGTGCCAAACTAAAAATATCAGCTAAATTTTTTTAAAAAGGTCACGTCAAAAAATATTAGCTAAATTAGTACTTCCGCGAAACTCCCGCGATTTTCGATTATCGATAACCAAATACTGACAAGCGGAGTGTTTTTGACCCAGGTGGCGAATCGCGATGTAACATACATCAATCGATAGCGAATTGAAACAATGTGAGGCTTAAATATTCCTTTTGCGGAACGCCCTTGTTTAAAAATTATTTGAATTTTACGGTGACTTTTGCCAAAATTCCTCATTTGAAGTTAAACGAGTATTCAGAATTTTTTGTTCTATCGAATCAGCTATCTAACTAAAAAATTGGAAATTCGGAAATTTCGAAAAAAAATGCCAAAAATTTCTCTATGTAAACTTGGTCATTTTCATGCTATTCCAGATTCCTGCAAGGCGTTTAAAGAGGCGACCTAGCACCAACAAACATACCATTCGAATCAGAAAAAATTCTCTATCAGATAAGCTATTTAAATGATTTAAATTAAATCCAATGTAAAATGGCAAACGAACAAGCTCGATTTGTAGAAAATAGGTTTCAGAAACGTTGGAAAAACCTAACAACTTTTTAAAGAGAGGAGTTCGGCAAAAACTAATATTTAAACATCACTTTTATTTTCCATTCTCTATCGATTGATGTATGTTATATAGCGATTTGCAACATGGGTCCAAAACACCTTCCATGTTAGCACTCAGACACTGCAAAAACCCTTACGAGAACGACCATCAGCAACTGCAGATAGGCCGGCTGCTTCGTTTGGATGGTGCGAATTCCCAGCCACGCGTATAACACGGTGGCACCCCATATGAAAAACTGTAAATGACAATTTACCAAAAAAAACGGGTAGGCTAATTTGGCGCTATGGTTTCTTCGGCTAACCTGTGCATTCTGGAGATAGCGCCATAGGAGTAGGGGCTTAATGATGAGCGAGATTCCAACGATGAGACAGAACAAGGCCGCGGAGATCACTCAGATGATCGTGTCAAAGCTGAAGCAGCACTAAAAAGGAAGAATATTTCTCTCAATAGCCGTCTGTCTCTCTCTCTCTCTCTCTCACTGAATTCTCTGCCTCAAAACCTACCTTCGCGGTACAGCAGCAACATCCACAACAAAGATAATTTCCTGGCTCCACCGGCGATTTCGGCTGAACTTTAGGACGCCATAGCCAAACGGGGGAAACCCATCCTTAAAGTATGTGTTGCAACAAGTTGACAAGAAGTAGAAATTCGAAAGGTATTTGCGCCATCTCAAAAAAAGGCGCGCTACTAGCATAGTGCAGGGGCTTAATTTAGCGTTCGGACAAGGAGCGCAGTAGCAGAGAGAGAGAGCGAGAGAGAGAGAGAGAGAGAGAACATGTGAAAGAGCAGGGTTCGGGCGTTGGGCCAATGCCATCTATTCATCCGTTCCCCTTTTCGATCCCCAAAAAGCAGAAGGCCGCTTTTTATGGGCCTAGCATCCATCGACCATCGAGACCCGTTTTCATGAAAATTCATTCAAAAGACGGCCAATTTTACTAGGCCAAAGCTCAAGAAATTGGGAGTCTTGCAGAAACTGCGAAACGCGGGCAATGGCAACTTCTGGATGCCAAAAAGGGCGGGTCTCGCTGGTTGCTCCTGGCCGTTTTTTTGGAGCGGGTATCAAGAAGAGGAGCCCGGGATCGATGCGCTGTACTTGGAGGGGACAGAAAAAGCTAGAAAACAGCCTGGGTTTTGTTAACTGGTGCGATCCAAGAGCTTCTCCTCCCTGAATGCGTCCTCCTGAAGTCGGACTCTCTGAAGTCGAACTGCCGCAATAAGAAGTGCCCGGCTTCGGAGAAACTTGAGAAAACCTTTCACTGTTTTGTTCGAAAATCAGAATTTTTAGCAGCTCTTGTAAAGCTAAAATTCCAACCGATTAGCAAGATTACTGGTATTCCGGTAAAAAAGATTTGGAAACCGGTTGCGATGTGGTCATGAATCGGAGCGAAACCGAAAGGGTGGGGGGGTAAAACCGTCCTTGATTGAATAAATTCCGTCGCGAAAATTCTCCAGTAGCCCTCCAAAAATGTCCTCGTTTTCTACTTCCGCCTGGGGACCGAGGGCACGGAAAATAAATGTTGCAGCAGCACCAGAGAACGAGAAAAGGGGGAGGGCGGCCGAGTCATTTTTTGTCGGCCAAAAAAACCCAAGTGCTGGAGCGAGAGAGAGAGAGAGAGAGAGAGAGAGAGAGAGAGAGAAAGACGCCGAATGGGGGAACGGGTAGATTGCTGGCATTCGGACGCATGTGATCCATTTCCCGGTTCGCCGAAAGGCCATTTCGAGGCCTAGGCTTGGTTCGTCGAGTTGTACATCGCATAAAAAAGTCTAGAGCAACAAAAAAGCATAAAGTAAGGTTCTTTATTAAATTAGATATGTTCCTGAGGACCAGAATATGCTTATAAATCTGATGGATACGATACAGGAAACGTGACTAAAAAATCTTAGAGATTTCCTGAAAAGAGTATCGTTTCGTGATGGATTGTCGTTGCGAGAATCAAACTATGCAGGCTTGACGATGGCTTGGTGGATACTCTTGCTGTTCGACCTCGAGCTGGCGATCCCTAAAAAATTCGATGTCGGAGCAGGCGATCACGCGGGAGTTTTTAAAAAGCACTGGTAATTTACATAAGTTTTGTGGTTCTGGATCTACATCTACAATTGGTTTTAAACGTTAAACCCCATGCCTGATATAGGAGTAGTACATATAGACGACAACGTTCATCCAGATTGCCACTATTGCGCCAATAATCAGCCCCGGAATTCGTTCGGTAATCTCTAAAAATTTGCTGGTCAGTTCGCATCTAACAATGTTGTACGTACCCCAGATGCCGATGTGATCATTGTGGTACCCCATGGCACCATCATTGTATCCCACGGTATCATCGCGGTACCCTCGGCCCTCATAGTTGTATCCCCTGCCATGATCGTCGTAGCCCATTCCCTGATTGTTGTAGCCTATGTAATCATCGTGACGGTGGTGATGTCGGTAGCCACGGAAGTGAGAGTTGAGATGGTGGTGGACCCCTGGAGCTCGGTTTTTCGCAAAAATGCTTTTGCATACTGATCACGGTGATGCCCAAAAAGATTTCTGCAAGAGTGTCAAAGCTTGGAGGGAAGCCTGAAAAATAGGACAATTTCAGGGGCTTAGAGAACTGAAAAACGGTCGAATAACTTACAAAAACGATGATAAAGGCCTGCATGTAGCCGGGTTTCTTTGTCATAATGGCTCGGACGGCAAGGAAGCCCAAGACAATGACTGCCAGACGAAAGGTAAAGCTTAATACAAAATCTTGAATTTTACCGGTAGATTTTTAACATACCCCTGGTTGTCTTAGGGCAATCACCGTGACATCGGGTCGGACGAGGAAGACAAAAATGGCGGAAGCAATGAAAATGATAGAAGCGAGGATCCAGAACGCCGTGCATAGCGTGAACCAGCACTAAACGTCGGAAGATGGAAAGAAACGAACATTTCAATTACAAATCTTATGAAGCAAGAAGCTCTTACCTTTGATGAGCAACCGCAAAAATAGCAACACTTATAGTCGTCCGCCTTCACCGGGGATTCTGGCTGCACATTAGGGCGCCACAACCAAACCGGAAATTCCATTTTCGCTAAAATCAAGGTAAATTTTGTTTTGCAGCTCACGAAACGTCAAAAATCGAAAACGAGACAATGCAGGCAAGAATGGTGTTGTTCTTCTGAACCCAAAAAAACGCGATAAGGGGCTTGAGCGGAAGGTGGTGTGCCAAGTTTTCGATGACTCAGACGGAATCGTCACCTATTTCACCGAGCTTATCAGTCGCATAATCCATGATTCATGGGTTATTCTATGGTAAGTGGCCAAAATTGAGAATTCGATCGATTAGTTATACATCTTCAAACCGTTCAGGAGTAGGCCATTTTCAAGGGCGAAAAATTTCGAAAATGCTCCAAAAATTCAGTTGTATCAGCCTTAAAAAAGACGAGACCATATTTCAAGGAATAAGCTATTCTAGATAAGATTTGAATTCGACGCTGCTTAAGCTTCTTAAGCTCCAGATTTGAAGCTTCTGAAGCTATCAATTCAAAATCACCGAATAAATCGAAGCGCCGACCCAAAATCTCGGGCGTGACGGAGAAGCAAGTGCGGCCTGGCCCGCCGGCGCCAGAATTTCGAGACCGTCAGAAGAAGAAGAGAGACTGTGATACCGAAGGAGATTCCGAGGAACCCAAAGATAAACGCCAGACTCAAAAAGACGGGTGAGACATCGGTATTGGCTCTGGCGGTGTGTGTCATGCGGCCCTCTTTTCCTAGTGCTGACCCTGGTGTTGTTGTTTGGTGCTACCCAAAAGCTAACAAACTCGCCGCGCGTTTCACTGGTGTATGGTTGCAATGAACTTGGATCCCCTGTTTCATGAGATCCTTAGATTAACTGCAGAAGCTTTGCTACCCAGCCTAATTGCGCCTCGATGGCGGTACCCAAAAAGTGTTAGAAGAAATTTTTATTATATGTATGCAACGGTAGAGTATAGCATCTAACAAGGAGTCGTTTTTAGGTGATTTCAGTTTGCTCTGGTATCGATATACCTAGGAGAGCTCACTCAATACTTGTGTTTGTCATTGTCAATTTGCAATCGGTATTGTAACATTGTTTTCGGGTGCGCGAATAGAGTAGCTTAAAAATACCATTTTGAAGCCACTGTCCCGTTCTTGGATGCTGGTCGTCGCCAGGACTCCACCATGTCTGGATTCGAACTTCCAGCTGTGAATTTTCAAATACGATCAACAAGCTTACAAACTACCGAAGACCTGAAACTTCGCTGGTTATTTCCTCTCTGCCTCACATGCCTTCCAACAGTTCCAAATATCTTCCAAACACCTCTAAATAGTCTGCGATAAGGTAAATTGATTTTCTTATCTGAACTCAAATCCACTTCCTCATTGGAACCCGGGATCGGCCAAAAACCGCTCCGCCTCGATAGGGCGGGTGGGGAACAGAGGACTGGGGGTGGGCATTTTTTTGCTGACAGCAGAAAGAGGCCTTACAGTGGAGGGAGGAGCGTTTTGGATAGAGCGTAGAGGATAGAGGCGCGAGAGTAGCAACAGTTGAACCGAGAAGGAAGCGGAATTGCTCGCTGGGCCTCACATTTCCTGGATCCGCCAGTCGATCTGGCAAAGGCCGATTCCGCCCGGCGTTCGGTTTTAGTTAGGGCGATATCAGGTTATGGATTGTTTGCCCGTCGAGGCTACCTCGAAGCCCGATCGGATGTTTTTCTCATTTGGGCTGATATCTGATCGTATCACATTCTCTGTACCATCCTCCAGTTCAAAAGTTTTACCAAAAGTTCCGAGTGCGCAATTTAACGCCGTTAATGCTGCCGCAACCGTAATTGAGCGTGTTCCTCTTTACTAATTCCTAGTTTCTTTCCTAATTCACTAATTTCTAGGGGAAATAATGGGAATTCCGACTTGGTTGTGGAAGGCGTCGACGCACCATCCATTGGCGCCGGTCGAAGCCCGGAACTATCGATGCTGCTGTACATGCTGTACTTCTAAGGTGAGACCGAGTCTTGTGTACTTTCGAATAAGGTCAGGAAACTTACCAGCCAAAAAAATTCATTAAATGAATACGCTATATACAGCTACCTAAAATAATATAGGCTATTAAAGCAGGATCTAACCCAGGATCAAATTCACGCAGAAATCGAGAACCTCTGACATTTCCAGTGCGGCTTCATCTTCATGATGGTCCTGTGGGCGATCTACACGGTGTTCATGCTCGGGTTTTTGACCATCGCCTTCTTGGCCATCCCACCGAAAGAGTTCCCGAAGATCATCACCTTCCCCCAGGTGACGCTTTCAAAAAGTCATAAAATAAGGGAACTTGGTAGTTCTGGGCAGCCATCTGCGCGATCGTCGGCACCTTTTTTGGAATTCGGGCCATACAGACACAGAAGCCAGCTTGGATGCAACTTTTCCTGGTTTCTTGGGTATCTTTGTATCTTTGTCAGTACTTCTATCCAAAGTCTAGACGACCATGACGCTGATCCACTTCGGACTCTTCACCTACATTTGCATCTATGAGACTAAAGCGTAACTTTGGTGCCTATTCAAAAAAAATATCTTCATTTAGAGAGGGCCGTATTTTCATCGATCGCAAGGGTACGATCAGTGAAGGATATCCATGGTCAAGTCAGTTTTCTTCGAATACTATTAATTTTACCTCGCTTGCAGTGATGATCGTATTCGGACTATTCCTGGCAATCTACCACATTTTCATGACGCTCCCCTTCGTCTCCTACTATCATTATATCCGGTGAGTTTTGTTAGTAGCTTTTGCGTCGTAGAAGAAGAAGCTTTGCCGTCTTTTTCACTATCCCTCATTTAGCGATCGTCAACTGGAGCTGGAGCAGCAGCAAGGCAGAATGCAGTCCGTTCAAGCCTACAAATAAGCAAGCAATGTATTGAAGCCTTTGATTATACTACTTAAACTTTTATTTTCTTGTTTACTTTCTATCAGTTGTCGAATGCTTGCCTCGTATTTTGCTTTTTTTTTTGTCTGTGCATCAAGCAATTACGGGACAATGTATCCCTCACAAAATTCGATTCCCTGCCCACCACTTTGTCTATTTTTTCAGTCGAAATAAACTGGATTTTTAATTTAAACACTGGAATCTTGTCGTTCCTCGCCGCATTTATTTTGATTTTAAAAACAATTTTGAAACAAAACAAGTTTTAGAAAGTTTATACAGTTTTTCAAAACAGTTTTAACCGGAACGGAAGGCTTATATTGAGGGGGAATCTCCATGTTTTAAAATTCGAATTTTCGCTGGTTCCAAATCCGTATTCCAAATTTCACACTCACAAAATGCCCTTGTTCTCAAATCGAAACTCCAGGTTGAGTAAAAACACTTTACAGTCAGATCTTAACTGCTCCAAAAACATGTTGCCGTTTTGGCTGGGTGAACGAACGTGTGGAGAGGCAGCGTCCCGGCCATTTCCCACTCGACCAAAAAACAATAGTCCTGAGCAGCGAAAAGCGTGTGTCAGAGATAGAGCAGATACACGTGGGACTCAGAAGAGAACGAGCTATCGTTTCTCTCGACCTCCCCGCTTGCCCCCAGCGAACCCCCACAAAGGGCAGCCGAACTCCCCCCCCTTTAGTCACGCCCGCCCTGTGCACATGCCCAAATATTAGCCCAGACATGAGTTTGCGGCATCGATTTGCCATTTTATACCGCTTTCGTGATTGATGCCGGCCGAAACGGAAACATTTGCTACATATTTACGCGGTCTCACCACCACCAAACTGTCCTATCCGTAATTTTTACAAGAACTTTCGTAGTTTCTAGCTGTAACGAGCGATTTTCGAGACTCGTTTTTGATGCAGGAAAGTGATTGGGCTTCCAACGTGGTTATGGAAGGCGTCGACACACCATCCGCTGGCTCCTGTTGAGGCTAGGAATTATGGATGCTGCTGTACTTGCTGCACTTCTAAGGTGAGGAACTGTTAGCAAAATCGTTAGAAAGGATGAAAAGGATATATGTTGATTTTCGAAAAATCCAACACTCTCCGAAGGGCACGGGTTAGACCTATGACATCCTTTCCACTTTATCTACCTTTATCAGGATCGAGATCAACTCATAAGTCCCGCTAGATCTCAAAAACCGGGAAGAAAGCTTGCGATTCAGGGGCTTAAACTACCATCCAAAAACCCCCTTTCCAGTGCGGCTTTCTCTTGATGATGATCTTGTGGGCCATCTACACAATCTTTATGCTGGGCGTGTTGATCATCGCCTTCCTGGCCGGCCCGTCGTCCGAATACCCTAAATTTGTGTTTAAGTTTGAGGTAGAAATCGGCTAATTAAATTTCATTTGAATTTCGAGTTTCGATTTTTTTTAATTGAATACAGTGACCGAGATAGAGTAGCGTCAAATTCGATTTATCTCTTCAAAAACGGAAAATCGGCAAGGCGATTTCTATAAAAACCCGTGTTGTTTTAGTTCTGGGCTTCTCTCTGTGCTTTCGTCGGCACCATTTTTGGTATCCGTGCACTGCAGACGCAAAAACCGGCTTGGATGCAACTCTTCCTGATCGCTTGGGTATGTTTGAGTGTTTTCCTTCTACACTTTGCTCGAAACATTAGTTTTAGGCGCTGATTACATTGATCCACTCAGCGCTCTTCATTTACATCGGCATCTACGAGACAAAGGGGTAATTTAACAACTCTTTGCTTGATAACTGAATATGGTTTAGGACCGGCGGGTATTTCCCGGATCGCAAGGGGCATCTTAAGCAGGGATATCCTTGGCCAGGTGCGGTAACTGGTAAAGTTAACGAGTTATTTCAGTGACGATCGCCTTCGGAGTCTTGCTCTTAATCTATCACGTATTTATGACCCTTCTCTTCATTTCTTACTACCATTTTATCCGGTAATTTCCTACCTTATATAATTTGGTCGCGTATCTTTGTCTGTGTGTGTGTCCGGCCGTCACTTTCGAGGCCCGATTTGAGGGCCTTCCCGTGCATAAAATGCCTTAATTCTCCGTCACCCGGGGGAATCGACCCTCCTCTTTCCGATGGCGCTTTTAGAATCCCGATAAAATACAAGTTAACAAAGTTAAAGCCGGTTTTATTGATTTTTGGGGGTCCGGGAGGGCTAATTTGCATAATGTGAAAAAATACAAATTTCCTCATTCTTGCCAGTTGCACTCGCGAGTTTGGTCGTCTCTTTGGATCTGCCTCTCGATGCATTTCCTTCCCCTGCCCCGGGCAGTCCTCTTGAGGCATAAAACGGGTGTTTGGCGCGTGCTACCAAGCATTGCATAGTGTAGTGGTTAGCGCTTCGCCTTGCTAATCTAACCATCGGAGGTTCGATCCTCGGACATCTTAGTTGTTTTGCTTTTTGCTCGGAAAGCGCGTTTCGGAGTGGATTTCCGTGTAAGGACGTTATTATGAAGTTAGTCACTCAAGCCGCAGCCTATAGAATGAAGCTACCCGCTCAAGCATGCGCTGCAGGCCAAGGAATCAAGCTAACTGCTCAAGCTAGCGCCGCAGGCTTTATAACGAAGCCAGCCGCTCAAGCTAGCGCCGCAGGCTTTATAACGAAGCCAGCCGCTCAAGCTAGCGCCGCAGGCTTTAGAACGAAGCCAGCCGCTCAAGCTAGCGCCGCAGGCTTTAGAACGAAGCCAGCCGCTCAAGCTAGCGCCGCAGGCTTTAGAACGAAGCCAGCCGCTCAAGCTAGCGCCGCAGGCTTTAGAACGAAGCCAGCCGCTCAAGCTAGCGCCGCAGGCTTTAGAACGAAGCCAGCCGCTCAAGCTAGCGCCGCAGGCTTTAGAACGAAGCCAGCCGCTCAAGCTAGCGCCGCAGGCTTTCAGAACGAAGCCAGCCGCTCAAGCTAGCGCCGCAGGCTTCAGAACGAAGCCAGCCGCTCAAGCTTAGCGCCGCAGGCTTTAGAACGAAGCCAGCCGCTCAGCTTGCGCCGCAGGCTTTAGAACGAAGCCAGCCGCTCAAGCCAGCGCCGCAGGCTTTAGAACGAAGCCAGCCGCTCAAGCTAGCGCCGCAGGCTTTAGAACGAAGCCAGCCGCTCAAGCTAGCGCCGCAGGCTTTAGAACGAAGCCAGCCGCTCAAGCTAGCGCCGCAGGCTTTAGAACGAAGCCAGCCGCTCAAGCTAGCGCCGCAGGCTTCAGAACGAAGCCAGCCGCTCAAGCTAGCGCCGCAGGCTTCAGAACGAAGCCAGCCGCTCGCTTAGCGCCGCAGGCTTTAGAACGAAGCCAGCCGCTCGGCTAGCGCCGCAGGCTTTAGAACGAAGCCAGCCGCTCAAGCTAGCGCCGCAGGCTTCAGAACGAAGCCAACCGCTCGAGCTAGCGCCGCAGGCTTTAGAACGAAGCCAGCCGCTCAAGCTAGCGCCGCAGGCTTTAGAACGAAGCCAGCCGCTCAAGCTAGCGCCGCAGGCTTCAGAACGAAGCCAACCGCTCGAGCTAGCGCCGCAGGCTTTAGAACGAAGCCAGCCGCTCAAGCTAGCGCCGCAGGCTTTAGAACGAAGCCAGCCGCTCAAGCTAGCGCCGCAGGCTTTAGAACGAAGCCAGCCGCTCAAGCTAGCGCCGCAGGCTTCAGAACGAAGCCAGCCGCTCAAGCTGTCGCCAAAGGCCAAAAAAGGAGGCTAATCCCTCAAGCTTGGGCCGCAGGATGAGGTAGCGACCTAGCCGATCAAACATGCGCCGCAGGCCTAATAACGAGACTAACAGTTCAATCTTGCGCCGCATGAGAATACAAAGAGCTTTGCATGGGAGATGGGTTTTTCTTTCTTCAGGATAACTGTCTGTGGAAGGGTGCTCGATTCATAAGGCCTAGACGGGGTCCAGCGGGGGAGAGTCGCGAAGCGGCTCCTCCCCCGCTGGTTTATTCATAATTATCCGGGTCTTTAGATTTATAATCTAAACTATAATTCTCAAATCTAAATTCATTTGTATTTTTGAGTCTTAGGGATCGCCAGCTGGAGCAGGAGCAGCAGCAGGGCAGGATGCAGTCGATCCAAACGTATAGATAAGGATGAAAAATGTCAGTGGCTGGGCTTAATCGTATTGACAATAAAGTAATAGATATGATCAATTTAAAGGACGCTTAAGCTCAGATGATCACGAACTAAAAGGTTCCTAACAAATTTTCTGGGATCTGGATTTTCGTAATCTCCAATCTTGAGCAGCTTGCCTGCGCGACTAAACGTGTAATTCCCCGAGGATTTTCAAATTGGCTCAGCTTATGTAAATTTCAAGATTTTGGAATTCGAATGATGGTTATAGCTAGGCTAAATTTCGAGGTGGCAGGATGACGCTTTCGTTGAAAAATCCAGCGAAACTCCCAAATCTCCCAAATTCCTGCAGGGTCTGCAATTTGTTTTCTCCCGCCATCATCTTACCACATCCGGATTATTTCGAAAACGTGTATTGCCGTCTGGACCGGATGGACGTGTGGAGAGGGCGGGAGGTGGCCTGGGCAATTTTCCAGTGGCACCAAAAAAAGCAATAGGCGGAGCAGTGAGGGCGGGCGGGTCTATGAGAGAGTGTGTAAGGGCTAGAAAAGATACATCAGCGACCCAGAAGGGAAGGAGCTATCGCTTCTTTCGACCTCTCCACACCACATTTCCTGGTGCTCCGTGCGAACCCCCCACAAAGGCCAGCTGAACTGGTGTTTAGTCACGTTTCGCGTACTTTGAATACAGAGTAAGTGCGTACTCCAGACATGCGCATGCGAATTTTCAACGGTTAATTCTGTTCTGCTGTTATCCCCTGATGGCGCCGGCTATTCCATTGGAGACGTTCGCAAATTATTTGCGGAGCCTCACCACCACCGCCATGTTCTACCCGTACGTTTTGTAGAAATTCTCTAGACGTAGAAATTATTTTGGCATTTTAGCCCGATATTGGGACTCCCGACTTGGTTATGGAAGGCGTCGACGCACCATCCGCTGGCCCCTGTTGAGGCAAGGAATTATGGATGCTGGTGCACTTGCTGCACTTCAAAAGTGAGCAAGGAAGTTCGTGATTGATAAAAAGTTTTCGTTTCGCTCTTTTTTTCAAAGAATATGAAGTATATATAAGCGCTAATAGATGCAAATTATATATCGTGCCCGGTGGCAATTCGGAATGGGAACAAGAAACGAAACCTAAGCCCTTAAACGGCTGCTGGTAGTATTCACGAGTTATCTTTCGGCATCTGAACATTTCCAGTGCGGCTTCATTATTATGATAATACTGTGGAGCATCTACACCGTCTTTATGCTCACCGCCCTAACATTTGCGGTCCTCGCCATCCACCCTGCCGATTATGCAAATATCGTGACGAGGCTTGAGGTAAGTGTAACTTTTTACTTACAGTGTTCCTGGATTATCAGGAAACTCCGCTCGTGGTTAGGTTATCTTGTGCAAAACTTGGGTTCTTTCCCAATATTGTTGTCAACTTTCTGTACGAGCACGGTTTCAGCAGTATAGTGGTATTTTTCTCGAAACCGGCCGGAAATGGCTGGCTTCGGTTCTGCCCCTGAGTACCTCGTCCCAAGCACTTTCGCAAGGGTCACTCGTGAACCCTGGACGTATGGTTGAACTAAAAAGGTTTTTCGGGACCACATGGCTTTTGAAATGCAGCCTTGGGAAATTTTTCAAAATGGCAAATTTTGAGCTATCGATTTGCGAGCTCCCACATGTGACAGAAAATACAGGGTCTCAAAAAAAAGAGTGAAGTTCACAAATATCCGCTTATAGTAGAGAATCGAAGGTCCGTCCATCCAGAATCTTAAATATCTGGGTATGATTAACACAACTTGATTTTTCGATTTTTGGCGACGTATCAATACAAATGACACCCGAAAACTGTGCGTTCGGCAAAACTTCGTTTGCATTTTTAGTCCGTGGTGGTCGAACAGTTCCAATTTTACAGTGTAGGTACTAAGGACTGCCCCTACGCACATCCGGAATTTTGCAATTTTTGAAGGTCAGGTTGGCAATTATAGTGCTAAAATTTAATATGGAGAAATTTCGTAAATTTCGATTATTACAAACCTATGGTGGAACCTCATAAAGCTGTTTTAGCATGTCTATAGGCCTATCAATCCCGCAAAATATCAAAACATTTTTCAGATTCGCGGATTTTTGAGTTTTCCGACGACCCCTGGTCATGGATCTTTCGAGGTCACGAAACTGAACTTTGAAAAATATTTCTAAAATTGCAGCTAGAATTTCGTGTTTCTTTCTTAGTTATGTAGGATTGGCGTCCATCTATCATGTAAACAATTTCTAGCTACCGTACCCCTTTGAAGGTTGCTTTTGCGCCTCCAAAACGGTTGGTTCGTGCTATGTCGCAGACCTTGGTGTCAGTCTATAAAATTCATTTGCGCGGCTAAAATTACTGTCATAATTTTATTTGATGCTTCTTAACTGGTATTTTAGTTATATCTACAAATTTTGGGCGATCGACTCTCAAAAGAATTCATGAAAGCAAATATACCCGACTTTGAGGCGACGTAAAATTCTCAGGCTCTAGTACCTCGACTTTTGCATAAACTCAGCTTGGGTGGTCAACTAGAACCCATGCAAATACAAAACCTTTCCATGGCAAACGAATTTAGGAGCTCCCCAAAGTCGGCTTTTCAAAAAGGTTATTTTCGGGTTTTAAATCAAAATTAACCATTCTTCAGCCAGGTCATTCCAGAATTCTGCTCTCATACAGTACGATGTGTGCTTTAATTGTATCCACCAAACCCTGGTGCCTTTTTCATTTTCAAAAATTCGATTTTCGGGCCAGGGTGTCGGGTCCAAAATCAGGCCCGAGGAGGGTTTTCGACTTCCCTTATAACTCTGTCATTTACCACAGATAACCAGTAATTTTTGCCTGCGTTCTTATAATTACTCAGAGACATTCTAGAATAGAAAATTGGCATTTTTGGCATTTTTCTTGGCATGCTAAAACGTGCTCCAGGCGGGTTACGGTAGAAACAGTAAATAGTCGTTTTCCGTTCTTTTCACCATAGAAACGTTTCGATCTTTCAGGAAAACAAATAATAGTAGTTTTCGTCCGATGCATAAAATATTTATAATTTCCGTGGCTAATTTCAAAATAGTTTTTCATATTTTGGGAAGATATATGGCTAGAACTCCACGATCTTTGAATAGGTGACCCTTACTGATGTTTCCAATGGTAATTTTAAGCGAAATCGCAGCTACAATAAAGAAAACGCGAAAAACAAAAACAGTATCCCTCTGGGGCAGTTTGAGCAAGCAATATTAAAATACCATAGAATCAGGTAAAATTTGGTGTTGTGCTGAAGATTATCATTCGGCGACACCACTTGCAAAAGATCAGCCAAGGGCAGCTTATTTGAAGCGAGTTGCGAATTAAAAAGTAAAAATAAGCAAAATAGGGAAATTGTTTGCCTGTAAAAAAGAACTAACCTTCAAAATTCTAAGACTGCTATTATTTTTCTACAAATGTCAACTATTTATAGGCCAAAAATCAGAATTTTCCCACCACCCGTTCAAGAACGCACAATTTTCGGTCGTAACCAGCGTCAATAGTACAGTTGCGTACTCAAAAATCGAAAAAATCAAGTTGTGTTAAATCTTCATACCCAGCATATTTAAGCATTCTGGCATGGTAACGTACCTTCGATTCTCTACTATAAGCGAGATATTTTGGTGCAAACTTCACTCTTTTTTTTTGACGCACCCTGTATTTCCCGCCCTATGATGGCCAGAGCCCCAACCGCCGGGACCGCAAAAAATTATGCACAAGATAAAGTTGGTCAAAAATGACATTTTTTAACCTATGTGCAAAACATTTCAGTTAGCGCTAGTTACGAACGTAATGCATGTTCTTTGTGGCATTAAAATCTCACTTTTAAGTCCTAGCAATTTTGCCCTTTCTGTTTTTGGCGGGCTGCTCCAACGGATTAGTTTCTTCAAATCGTGGCTTCGTTGAATAGACGGAAAACACATTGTTATTCTTTCAGTTCTGGGCTTTCCTCTGCGCAATCATCGGCACCTTTTTCGGAATACGTGCTATTCAGACGCAGAAACCGGCGTGGATGCAGCTCTTCCTAATTGCTTGGGTTCGTTTTAAAGGGGCCATTCTTTGGATAATTTCCCTGACGTCAAGCTTTAGACGCTAATAACCGTGATCCACACGGCGCTGCTCATCTACATCTGCATCTACGAGAGAAAGGGGTAATAAAATTTTAAATATGACAGCTACAGTAATCTAGGAGTGGTAGAATTTTCCCGGATCACCGTGGACATCTGGAGGACGGGTATGCTTGGCCAGGTGGGTCTACAATTTAAAAGCGATTCTTAATTCAAGTCTACGCGGCTGGGTCCACAAATTAAATTTAATGTAAAATAACCTTGTAATTGAAGTCAGTTTTGGCTTAGACTGGTCTATTTCAGTGCTGCTCGTCTCGGGTATAATTCTGGCCTTCTATCACACCTTCATGTCGCTGCACTTTGTTTCTTACTACCATTATATCCGGTGAGCGGTTGACGTTCACTTTTTGTGAATGTTGTAGAAGAATGAAACATTTTGATAAGCTATTTTGCTAATATTTTCTGAATTTAGTGATTGTCAACTGCAACTGGAGCAGCAACATGACCAAATGCAGTCAATCCAGACCTACAAATAAACGCAGCGCGGCTCAGGATTTGACCATTTTCGCTGAAACTATTTGTAAATTTATTGATTCGTATTTCAAGAAATATTCACCAAAACATTGGATGATACCTTTAAATCGAATCGCTCAGATTATTGGCTTCTCGCCATTATGTGCCTGCTTGCATCGATCGCAATAAAAATATTTTTGATATTGCGGATCCAATGCAAATATACAATATAAATTTTTTTTCGTAAGGCTGTCATCAACATCAAGTGATAATGGATCGTGCATAAACCAACATATGGCGTTAAGCAAGCAAAAAAAGCCACGGGCTTTCCCCCAAGCTTTCCCCAAATTTATGGTTTATATCGTACTACAAAAAATAAAACAAGCCTGGAATAGCTTGTGAAAATCTAGTGTTGCCCAGTGATTATTGTTTTCCCATTTTAAATATTCCCTTCGCTGTTAATCGTTTTACACACAAAAAATACCGCAGAAAAAACCTACGCCGTTAATTTTACACTTATTACGTTCATCGCTACGTCGCGATTTTACAAGATATTCGCCATTTTCAAGCTTTTGCGAGATGGCCGAGTTATCGTTTCGTATAATTTCGAGCGCGTCCATTTGGCTGATTCAATGGCTTGTACAAGCTATGGTCTGACTATTTGCATCACTTGCGATAAAGCCCGCCTAGAGCGTCTTTTGCCGCCTCACTGATTCATATTCCAGAACTCTTACGAAAGTATTGGGCGGAGCTTTGTCTAACCCGTATAAATCAACGCTTCCGCTTGGTGTTCTTATCGTCAGCTACCTTCCCAGATTTCGCAATCGTCAGGAAATTGATATAGTAACGATTTGCAACTGTAATCCTACACCATTTTTCAGGCTAGTTCTGAGGCCGTTAGCCCTTTTTTAAAACTATTTTAATATTTTTGGTTGATAGATACGCTCGTAAATTTCATGTGGGCCTAAGTTTTGTTTCTGTACTTACCGAACTCCATCGCTGCTTCAATAATTTGCTTTCCTTGAATTGCAAAATGCCAATAAATGGCATTTCAGAAATTATGACTCATATTCATATCCTGTTGTCATTTATCTGTCACTGCTGAAATCAAAGGCTTGCGCTCTTCTGATAATTTTCTTTTGGGAGCTAAACGATTTCTTGTCTCCTGGCCAATTTTTTCCAAGAAACATAATCGTCTGACAGGTTTTATCATGCCGGCTGAATCGGAGCCCCATGGTCATCAACTTGCCATGAAATCGAAACACAAGCCTGTAAACATAAAGGTATACAGGGTGTCCCAATAAAAAAGGTCACGCTGGCATTTTGCTATTTCAAATCCGATCGACTTGAAATTTTGCACTGAGGTGCGGAAGGGAATTCAAAATGTTCACAGGAACTTTCGGCCCGATCGGTACAGTAGTTTTCGAGTTATAGCAAAAATAAACTATATTTTAAGTTTTTAACCTGGATTTCGCCGGAATTGAGCTTTGGAATGTATGGAGAAAATGAAGCGCCGACCCTTTTTTATCCTAGGAATTTTTTTATTTCGCAAAATTCTGGTCGAAAATAGGCTATTTAAGTATTTTTTTAACAAGGGCTAACGACGCCGATGTTAAGAAGAATAAGGGATTTAGAGCCGGAAATTTATGGTAATGGCTGCAAAGTCCAAAAAGATAGCCAAAAAAATGAAGCTAAAGTGTCGGAAAAACGGTATTTCTACAATAACTCGAAAACTACTGTACCGATCGAGCTGAAAGTTACTGTGAACATTTTGAATTCCCTTCCGCACCTCTGTGCCTAATTTCAAGTCCGTCGGATTTGAAATAGCAAAATGCCAGCGTGACCTTTTTTATTGGCACCCTGTAGATGTACAAAAATATATTTTTTTTGCCTTCAAACCAGCTTTATTTGAATTGCAGGCCCTATTCAAAGTGTCAATGCTCCTCTGGGTACTCTATACCGTAGCCAGCCTGTATTGGGTGCTCCACTTCATCATGGACCCAGAATCCAAACCTTCAGCGCTTCTAGTGTTTATACAGGTATCTCTGACCGCGCTGCTTCTGACCTTTAAACATAATTTTCAGACTTGGCAGATACTGAGCGGCATCCTAGGAATATTTTTTGGAAGTATGGCGATTGTTGAAGCGAAGAAATTACAGTGGATCGACGGGCTTATGGGTTTTTGGGTAGGTTTTGTTCTCTAATTTTCCGTGGCCATTCACCAATTCTGTAAAAAAATTATCGATGTCTTTATAGCTTGATTCTAGGCATGTTCCCTATTGTTGACCGTCACCACTATGATTTGCATCACGATTTGGGGATCGGAAAGGTATCATTGAAAAGTTAAATAAAAGCTCTGATTTAGCGAGATAGCCATCTTCGATGACGCCAACGTACCAGGTATCATATATTCTTTGAATAATTAAACTAGCGTTTGCAAAACTGATTTGTGGGACAGACTTCGTCGTGGTTCTATGCTTCATGAGCTGGATTTTATATTGCTATCACGCGGACCGTACAAAGTGGGTTTATAATGCCATTTCATGAAATTCAATTTAAGGGATAAAGAAGCCAACGCCAATCCAGCCATCCTGCATCAACTGGAAGCTGGAGAGTGCCTCGTTGATTCTGCGCTTTCAGTCGATCACGATCACGAACACGCTTATGGTCTGGTAATCTCTGCACCGGAAAAATCTCCATCGCCAATTAATTGTAAGCAACAACTGGCGTACGTACCCCTATTATACGGGTTGAGAAACGATACCAGATCTCATTATACCTTACGATCCCTTGCGCGGTACGCGGTACTATCTCATACCACATACCATTGCTACTCGGTGCTGAATAAATTGCTTCTAGCTGTAAATTTCTAACAAACAGAAAAATTTGCACAAGAGTTTGAGCAGAATTCATTCCCTTCACAAAAAATCCAAGACCTTAAAAGGCGAATAATGCTAGCGGAGCCATCTTCACCCCCACTTTCGCCATCCCCTACACAAAAATCGATGGTCTCCCATTCGGCGGTGTTCGATTTGAATCGAAAGCCCGGCCTAGGGGTCGCGGCTTTTTCTGGCGCCAGAAAAAGCCATGGACCGTACACGAGCGAGAAACAGCATACAATTTTTGGAGGCTCCAGAGACCACATAAAACCCGGTGGCCGCTCACGTTTGCCCTCACTCGGTCCCCCATTTCCCGGTTCGACTTGTTTTTAGCCCAATGTTGTTTGGTACCCGAGGCCGCTGGCATATGGCCTTCTCTTTGCCCTCACCGTCGGTGCTATCGACCCAGTGGGTGCACTCTCCCTCTCCGGGTTGTTTGCGTGTTGTTTACAACTTTTTTGAGGTCTAGCCTCAGCGAATATTAGGCCAATGCTGTGCCAGATGCGCATATTTTCGTTTTGTTTTTGCAGTTGATGCGTATTAAGCGTCTTTCGTGGAATTTAAAAAATCTGGATCGATTTTCATATTTCCGGCCGAATAATCCCGGCCTCCAAACTTTGATTACGCGATGTAATCTACTTTTCATGGCGTGGCATTTTGACGCGTGCGATACAATAACGAAACGATATCTTATTTTCAATCCGGGCAAAAATATTCCTTCAGGGCATTAATCGGGCGTTTTGTTATGTTTCGAAAGCTACCCTATAGCTATCCAACGAATAATAAATCTTTATTTTCTTCTAGTTCATTTCACAAATGTTAGAACCTCGGCTTGGTCCAGATATAAGTTTTTCTTATTTTCATTTTTTTTCCTTATTCTGATTCTTTTGATTTTTCAGTTGTAGCAATGGGTCTCCCAACCTGGCTGTGGAAACCAAAAACGCATCACCCGTTGGCTCCGGTGGAATCGCGCAACTATCGATGCTGCTGCAGCTGCTGCACCGCCAAGGTAGAAAATCCAAAAAAATATTAAGTTTCGCAATATTTAAAACCGGATCTAAATTTTTAACAATTCTTAACATCAGAGAAACAGTGCAAAACCAATCCAAACCTTTATTTTTAGTGCGGCTTCACCACCGTTTTGATCTTCTGGGCCATCGGCGCTCTCCTGACTCTCGGTTTCCTGATGATCTTCATGTTGGCGCCGGCGGTTTATCTGAAGCTACTCAAGATGCCGGAGGTTTCGAAACCAATCTAAGAAAACCTTGTCTGAAAACTCTTTCAGTTCTACACGGTGGTCTTCAGTCTGCTATGCGCCTTTACGGGGGTGCGCTCGATTCAGACGTTGAAACCGTGTTGGATGCAGTTGTTCCTGATCTTTTGGGTAAAATTTATGAGGCAATTATTATTCAAGCGCCTAAAACCTAATCAAATAAAATTGTTGTTTATAGTTTGTTGGCTCGGCCCTGAGCTGGACACTTTGGATCATCTACTGGGTGATGCTAACCGAAGGGTAGGTGATCTACGAATTAACTAAAATGTTGGTGCTTGTTTAGCTTCGAGCAGATGAGCGCAAAGGACAAGATGGAGGAGGGCAAGAAGCACGTCGACACGAGGCCTTTTACCTGGACCCGTGAGCTTTTTCGATCATTTTTCGTTTTCATGAGTAGCGAAATAGATTTGAGCCAAAAACTTCTAAAAGTTGTGTAAATTAATGAAATTTCAGTTTTGGCGCCACTTATCGTCACGCTGTTGATCTGCCAAACGTTCTTCACGTGCCTCTTCCTATCCTACTATCGCTACGTGCGGTAAGCAACTGTGTTAGCTGGAATTGTAGCATTAAGCGAATTATACTGATGTAAAGACGTTAACTTGACCTTTTTAGTGACCGCCAACTCGAGATTGACCAGCAGCGCGGCCAGATGACGGCCATCACCACGCACAATATTTAAGAACATCTGTTTTTATGAAATTTGCATGTTTTCGCTTTAATTTCCAATCCGTTGATCTCCTACTTGGTTGATCGGACCCGCATTTCGCCATTGCATCTTTCCACCGTTCAAACGACCGTTTTTAAGCGCAAATATTTCCGTATTATTTTGATTTCTTGCCTTTTCGATTGCTGTTTGGTAAATAATAAAGACTTTTTGGACTCACTGGCCCCAAAGAAAGCAAAAAAGCAAAAAATAACCCGGAAGGGTGAAAAAGCAAGTAACAACAAATAACGATCCAGGGTTCAGGCGGTGCAGGAAGTTCAGCATTGTATGCCATGCTTACAAATATTTTTTGGCGCGCGTCCATAAGATCGACAGTCATGCTATACCAAGAGAGCCTTACCCCATTTCGTTCCGCTTTTGGTTGGCGTTGGTCATTCCATGGGCAAATTAGCCGATTTTTGGGCACGTCGGCTAAAAATTGTTGATTACAAGTGGCACAAAAAAAATTCTTTGAAACTGTTTGCCAATTATGTACACGTTGTTTTCATCGAAGGCGGTTCCAGCGATTTCCTGGCGAATAAAAGGGAGAAGTACCGTTTGGTGGACGGTGTTTTTAGATACATTTCTCTTGACTTCTCCTCTGATCCCCCAATCTCGTTGGGACGTTTTGGCCTTGAACATCCCCTGGCTCGGATCGAGAGAAGAAATCTCTTCCTGGTCAGGTGCACGCGCCTTTTCGGCAGTGTTAAATTCTAGTCAACAATTCCCGTGTTTTACTTTCCATTGAATTGTAAGCTATACAAAGCGTTACAGAATCAAGATGGGCTTCCCGATCTGGCTGTGGCACCCAAAGACGCACTCCTACAAATCACCCGTCGAAGCACATAATTATCGATGTTGTTGCAGTTGCTGCACTTCAAAGGTAAGAAAACAAAAATATTTTAATCTCAATACTTACCACTTTTAGTGCGGCTTCACCTTTATCTTGATCTTCTGGACCATCGCCGCTTTGCTGAACCTGGCCTTCCTGCTGCTCGTCTTGCTGACGCCGGAGGTGTACTTGACGCTGTTCAAAAGCCCACAGGTACTTTTGCAACTAAATACAGACGAAAGGTTTTCCAAATTTCCATTATAAAAAAGTTTTAGTTTTACGCCTCCGTCTTCAGCATCATTTGCGTCGTCTGCGGGCTCTGCGCGTTGAAAACGAAGAGCCAAGTTGGATGCAGTTGTTCCTGATTTGTTGGGTGGGTTCGATGCTATTTAAGACTATTGATGTCATTACAACTAGTCGTTAAGCTTTTATCACATAGCATCGCGCAACTATAGAAAACTTAAATATTTTCCAGACCGTCCTTTCCATCATCACCTGGGCGCTGTGGGTTCTCGAGTGGACGCTGGGCGTGGAAACGTACTTTTATGAAGTTTTTGGAAAATCAACTAACTTAGGGCTAACGCACGCGTAGCTGAGCGTCGTGCTAAGGAGAACAAGCCCCAGATTAATACCAGGGCTGCTTCTTGGATTCGTAAGTTCGACTCGTAGATGATTTTACTTTCATTTTTACAGTTCTCGTGCCAGTCATCATCTTAGCCCTGATCATCCAGATTATTCTTACGTTCCTCTATATTTCTTTCTACCGCTTCCTACGGTATGTAATGCAACTTTTATCGCCGGATAATTGTGCATTAATTAGCAATTTCCCAAATTTTCAGCGATCGTCAACTGGAAAAGGAGCAGCACGAGGGGACGATGATGTCCGTCCAAGCCAATCGATATTAAAACAAATGTTTAGAAACAAAAATAAACGGAGTATTTTTGCTTTGGAATCCTACTATTAATGTTGAACAAAAGACGACAGAACCATTTAATGAAAAGTAGAGGCAAAAGGAAAACGAGGACATAAAACTGGATTTTTCACGTTTTTGAATTCCCAAGCGTCTCGTCATACCGTTAATCGATTGGCCAATGCCGGGGGTTCATTGCCTATTCCATCAACAACATTCTCAAGGGGAAGCCTGGGTGCCCAGCCCTTGTCAGCAACACGAACATGCCTTGGTACGGACCCTATCGATTGATCCTAAGGCCTTTTCTCCATTAATGGGGTACCGCTAATAAACCTCGTCAAAGAATCGTTTGGAGATTCGCACACCTATACACCCGGAGATGTTGATCATTGCCATGTTTTTTTGAATCAATCAACTATAAGAATTCAGTAGTGGTGTCTGTCTGTCTGTCCGTCTGTCTGTCAGAAGCCAACTATAACTCGAAGGGGAAAGGAGGTAGAGCTTAGGTCTCTTCGGATTTGGATAGAGCGTAGTCAGAAACCCCTTAAATGATCAAAAAATTATGAAAAAGTTTTTGTTTAAATAAAAATAATTAACTTTGAAAGTGGCGCCTTAATAAAACGAGTGGGGGCCCTCTCCCCGGGAGGCCACGCCCCCTTTTCCCGCCCCCGTCCCCAAGCCCTTTCCCGCGCCCAGATCGCTTTTTTCAGTTGTTTTAATACTTTTTAATTATCTTGATTCATTATTTAAATCCTTTAAAGTATCTAAGGCCATCACAAAAGGAGGGGGGAGCGTAAGGGGTAGCCCGAAATCCAGCCGCTTGCAGCGGCAAAGCCGCTGTAAGCGGCTGGTTTTTTGATGATCCTCAAAACTCGAAATATTCAGGTTTTAGCGTCATTTTTAAGGTCACGGCAGCCATTTTCCGATATCGTCTTTTTCTTGTTTTTCAGTTCCAAGCTATTTTAAATAGTCTATTTGATAAAGAATTTTTTCTGATCCGTATAGTAGACTTTACATAATGCGTGCTAATTTGAACCCTGTAATTTACCGTTTAGCAAGTGTCCTGGGAAAAAGCGTCTTCGGGAACGCATTGTTAGAAACGCATAATGACAACCCAGAAATATCATTCCTAAAGATTTCCGATATGCTAATTCCCCTTTTATATCGATGATTCTCTTTTCAACTACGTTTTAGCTTTATTAATGCTTTACCCCGTGTGGTTATGGAGGCCGGAGTTGCCAAAGGATGACCAGCCGATGGATCCGGAAGACGAATTTCAAAATGGTACTGAGGAAGAAAACATGGTATGAATTGTATTAAAACATATTAAAATTCATCATATTGGTATCAATCATCGTAGACCTCAATCCGCAATAGCTCGTTTATAGCATCTTCCTAGATGTTCCTGAAGATCCTGATCGTTCTGGGCCAGGCCTATTCCCTGATAACCCTACTCGTCTTTTTCTATGCAATCACGGATTCGGGCTGGCCTGGGATCTTGTGGAAATCCCAGGTATGCAAAATGTTCCTTGAGTTTTTTTTACTACATTTTTGTTTGAGCTATATTGAGTTTTTATGACAGGTATCCCGTTTCAGCTCTACGCCGCTGTCCTTCTGATCGCAACTTTGTACTGCGCCATTCGATGCTTGCAGACGCGGATGCCTTTCTGGATGCAACTGACGCTGATATTTTGGGTAGGTCAGAGTAGAAAAAGCTGTCGCACTCCCTTCAAAATCACCATTTTCAGGGGTTTGTGGTGATGTTCAATACTTGGAAGCTAATATACGCGGTGCTGTATGAGATGAGGGGACCGAACAATACGCACGGGTATCATCGAACGAGTTAGGCAACCTTTTCTTGCAATTTATTTACTTAAGATGTGGCTATCATCGGGTACTTGATGACGATGATGCACATCTTTATCACCTGCCTTCTCCTCTCTCGCTACAGCTCTATTCGGTAAAGGAATATGGATTTTGTGGCAAACGAGCATGCGTCCATCTTAGCTTTTCTAGAAATCCTAAAAATCCTTTTTTCAGCGATCGCCAACTATTTTGGGAGGAGCGGGTTGCAGCGACGCTTGTCGAGTTAAATGACGATCAGATCACAATTTTGTCTGTTTAACCATTCATTTTTTTGCTCAGAATTACCAAGCGTTGCATATGTATGTAACGAATAAGCGACTTCACGCCTTTACGTACAAATAAACTTCGCAAGCTACGGCAAGGCGCACAACATCTAAATGCAAGTGAATTTTACACATTAAGACACGCAGGGTCACGCCGCATCTGCCCACTATGGGCAAGGGTAAGGATTTGTGTCGGTCTACATAATCCGAAAATTACTCCTAAAATTACAAAACCTAATACCTACCACCAAATCGCGTTCGAACAAAATGGATATAACCGGGTTCTAGAACTCTATGATTATCACGTAAACCACCAGCTTCCTAGCGAAATTTGCAGCTATACGGAATCGATTTAAACTTCCACGTCTGGTCTTTTCGAATGTACTTGCTTTCATAAACATTTTTTTCAAATCTGTACGCGAATGAATAAAAAAAGCCGATGAATCGGTGCTAACCTCTCAAGGACGAAAGTATCCTCTAAAGCTTGCGTCTCACCACTAGGCCACAGGACCGATGAACAGGGCGCGCTGGGAGGGGCTCATATCGCAGCGGCGTTTTTCGGTGCAAAACTTAAAATGCTCATAACTTTTTACCGTTATACGCTCTGGTTGATTTTATTACATATTTAGAATCCCCTCGACAAGGCGCGTCGAATGGTGTATCTGACTTCTCAAAGTTAGATGCCGAGTTCAGATACCTCCCTAGTCAGACTCACGGAACGCCTCATTTTTTGCTTGATTTCTTAAATTTTCTCTCTCATGGATTTCGTGTGTCGAAGATCGATGGCTATTCGGCCACCCTCGAAAACCAAATGGTAATATCATCCACAATTTGGAATATTTTATTTTGGGATTGGCTTGACAAAATCTCAATGAGCGATAAAATAAATAAAGGTAAGCCCCCCATAGCCGCGGGGTCTCAAGGTTTTTGGCATGTTCGCTTTTTTGTCAAGATTGTTGCAATGTGATTCGATAGAGCATCAAAAAATAAACTAAGAGCTGAATTGGAGCCAACACTAATGTAAAATAAAAAAGTTTTAGCCAAAACCTTCCGGCGCGGGGGCGGGGGGTGGTAAAGTAAACTGTAGGCTCAATAAATAATAATCCTAGAATCGGTTAGGAAGAGGAAGATAGAAAAGGAAAATGATAAAACGACGAGAAGATACTGGCACCATTGGCTGAAAAAAAATGGGTTGTCCTTGACTTAGGCTCTAGCACTTCAGGCCAAAAACTGAGTAAACTCAGTAGCTAATGCCAGGCCAAAGAATGGTTGCTCGCCAAAGCGCTCGTGCGCCGCAGGCTCAAAGAAAAGACACGCTTAAATTCATGGTTCTTGGGTTCATAGCTTCACGAGGTCCAGTGGAAAAGGGCCGCGAAGCACTCTTTTTCCTCTGGTCTGAGAGATCTGAGAGTAATGGACTACTGTAACTTTTAGCACCAGATATTTGTTTACGGGATTACCCTAACAGGGTTTAAAGTAGGGTTTAATAGTTCAGTAAAACCGGTCACACTGTGAAAATAAGGGCTTTTACCGATACGTATCGGTTCGGGACTTCACAACTATTGAAATTCAAATATAGAACTTCAGAAAACTGATCGAATTCGATGGCGATTCGCGTAATCGCTGGTACCCAAAATCCCGAAAGGCACCTTCGAAAAGGAACTTATAGTTCGATGCCTGGGTTCCAGCGAAAGGTTTCGGTGTTGGTTAGCTCGGCATATGCAGAGGCATTTTCGGCCTCGGGAGTATTGACAGCCCGTGTAGCTCGGCCGCGCAATTTCCGCTAAAAAGATAACTTTTTGCTTGTTTTTTTCAAATAACGACAACTTTATAGGCACAATGGAAATTTACATCAATGATGCGTAGAAAGGCATGGCCGAGCAACTCGCTAGCCGTGGGGCGTTGTATTTTGTCAACCGTTGGCATTTGTGTTAACAAGTCGAGCAAGTCGCTTTCTGCAAGAGATCAGCTTAGGTTATTGATTATTTTACTTACTTGTCAATGGTCCGATGTTATCACCGATTCGCGGCTCCAGCGCATCCTCAAAGACCTTCTCGAAACTTTGGTTTGAATCAAGAATAATTTTCGATCTGTCGCGCTGACCGGTTTTATCCTCCCAAAGTTCACTGAAGGGTGTTTGGCTTGTCGGATGACTATTTTACCTCAAGCGTTCGATTTCCTGACCTGCCCTAATGTTTCTCATTCTTTTCAACACCGAATCAACGGAAGCACTCTTCGAGGATGGGTCCAAATTGGGTGGCATCATCAATTTTAGCCCTAACATTTCGATAGTGACCAATGCGGCAGCCCAGATGTCCACTCCAGTATCATATTTTTCTTGAACAAGTGCTTCAGGAGCCTTATAAATTGGCGGGGTATCAACGTTGATTGTATAGTCGTTGTTGGAAAGGATATCTCTAGAAATGAGGTTGAAACGCTCGAACATATCAATCAGTTACCTGGCCAATCCAAAATCAAGGAGTTTGATGGCAAAGTCCTTCTGATTCATCCCAATATTACGCGGTGTAATGTCCTAAAGTAAAAAGTAATTTATTGAGAGAGTTCCCCTTCTGTATGACTTACGCGATGTATAATTCCATTGCTATGAAGAAATTCTAGCGCCTGCAGTAATTGTGCCAGCATTGCCGCGATGTGGCGAATGTCCCTTCTCATCGGCAGCTCACAGCGGTCCTTTTTACGTAGGTGCCTTAAACGGAAATGCTAGTTAGATGCTTGAAAACAACTCGAAGTATTTTTCCAAGGTGTGATCCATTCGCTCTGTAATATTGCAGAAATATTCCGTCGGTCCATTGGGACACTCAAGCCAGGTTCCGTAAAATATCACAATCTGAAGAAAGATTACATTACGGTATCTGACAAGACTGCATGGCTGGCCTAATCACAGGGGTGCCCAAAAAATGTCGAACAGTTGAATTTCTAGCCGGTTTTAAGAAAGAGGTCGTTAAAGGGATGGTTCAGCCTTGGAGCTTGGGTGACTATCGACACAGGCGGGGGCCTGCAGGCCTGCGTCGCCCCTGAGTCGATAGTCCCCAAAAACTGCTGAAGCTCCAAAGCCGAACTATCCCTTTAATAAAGGAATTAACCCTACCCTACAAAACCCCTCTAGTGCTTTGGAAGATTGGGATATTCCATCGGGTTCCTTACATTTTCATGCCGGTTTAGCCGCGCGATGTCTACTTCACGCTTTACACGCCGGTATCCATCGACGGTTGACGAGAGCTTAGCCATCGAATATCTGAAGTGGATCAGGGATTTCTTGCCAGAGGGGAAACGTGACCACTTAGACAATGATTCCTTGCAAGTGGAATGGTTTCCACAATGATGTTCGAAGTAGTGGTTTTTGAAGTAATGACGGAAAGCCCCTGTATCATCGTTTTCTCAAAGGGATACCGACGGCATAGCTCGATCACCCGTGATCGAGTGTTTTGCACGTAGCCAACAGGGCAGAGAAAGCGCCCAGGGGCGAGACGCAGAGACATTTTCTTTCCCTCGCGTCACCGATTACTCATGCCGTCGTTATCCCCTTAATCATTCCTTCAAGTCGTGGACCATACAATAGCTTGTCCCATGGCTTTTCTGAATCAAAGATATATCAGGGATAGTCAACGATCTCTTCTGGTCCAGGACTCCTTATGGTCTTTTGTCCACTGTCTTTTCTATGTTCCCCGTAACGGTATGAAACCAATTCTTCTAAGAAATCAGTTTGCGAAGTACTGTTTTTGAAGTAATGATGGGCATCGTAGCAGACTAAGGGACCCTAGCGTTGACTTACCGTCTTATCGCCACGGATACAGCACCTTCATCTCGTCCTTTCCGTCGCATCTTAGCAGCTCTGAAAAACAATATACCACTATATATTTTCTCTTACATAATATCAGCGTAAGTTCCTCGCGCGATCACATGAAACTCATCTGTGAGGTTTTTTGGACGGAAGAATTTGTCATCCTAAGAAAATGAAATGGAAATATGTCGGATTCACCTTGTCTGGTTTGAGCGACTGCAGGACTAAAATCGGGAACACGTCCAGAACTTTGCTATCATCTTGCAAATTCGGCCTACGGAAGGTGGCTTTGCTTGGGTAGCACGGATAGAGAGGCCTTATGCGTCGTCCTTCAACGGAAAATGCCTCGAATTTTGTCGACAAGTCCATCCACTATAATGTGGCTTGTAGCACGAACAAATTAGATCCATACGTCCGTCCTGATGGCCAACGAGCATGAAAGTAAACAACCGGCCTCTGAGCTCTACAAGTTCATACCTCTGGCCTAAGAAGCTATTATACCGCGAATTATATGATGCAATTCTTCCTTATCAGTCTTCTTTCTGGAGTAATTTCATGTTGACATTTCATTTTTCAGCATCCAACAAAAATTTTTATTCTGGAGAAGGGGATGTTTGAATTTTTTTGCCTCCTCTAAACGCTAAAATGAAGAACTTGCAAGGTATTTGCGTCCGAAATTATCCCTAGAATTGGACTAGCGTCAACCTTACGCCCCAGTCCCCAAGCTTAGGTTTGTTTTTGGCGTCGGCATGAGCTTGGCGTCCGACCTGATAGAATAAAGAACTATTGGATACATGGCTACTTGGCTTGTAGAACAAACCAGGAAATAAACCCTGGGCGAACGGTAATGTTTTGTGCAAGCGATGCCATGCACCCAACTTCAAGCTAAGATAAGGGAGGCCGGCGAAGGAGATAACGGAGAGGCCCCGTCCCTTTCATTTTCCGAGAGCTTGTAGGGAGATAGAAAGAGAGAGAGAGAGAGAGAGAGAGAGAGAGAGAGAGAGAGAGAGAGAGAGAGAGAGAGAGAGAGGAAGATAGCAAGCTAGAAGAACAGACTGTTACAATCAACTAAAAAAATTGTTGTGTCTGTTGTAAACCTGTAAGATCGATGTAATTATAACTTAAACTTATGTAAGGCGTGTCACGTCAGGAACGAGTCAAATGTATGTAAAACCTGTTAAATCAACCTTAGTGCATGTTATGCAAGACACAAGTCTATTCATCACCACCACTTCCGGCGCCGATCAGCGAACACCCAGATGACCGGAAGCCAGGTCAAAGGGCATCACGCCATCCAGGTCTGATTCGGCCAATCCCATTTCGAGCCGAACCGTTCACTAGAAGATGAGTTACCGCCAAAAAACGCTTGGACGCAAGCCATTGTGCATGCACTCGGCTTGATGTGATGGTCAGGGACGCCGAAAAATACTGAAAAATTCCTTCAAAACAGGTCTAGTACAAAGATTGCCTACATTGCCTACAGCAATTAGCCAGTCGGCAAATCAGGGTGATGTGTCACTAGCCGGGAATATTCTGTCTCCACGAAAAGCCCCGGAAACGTGATAAGCCTGCGGTGGACGCTTCTAGGTAGCACCATGCCAGATTCCTTAGCTAATACACCTCCCCCCTTCCCCTATAAAGTTCCCCGTATTGTTCCCGCTTCCACTTTCTGAAAATAGGCTAATCTACTCCGCATACTGTACTGCTATAGTTATAGACAATAAAGTTATAGATCATTTATTAGTGTGATTCTATTTTGGTTTTTACAAATCTTTTTTGGTTGTTAGTCGTCGCCAGATTCAGAGAAAATGTGCTGTTGCATGTGGTTATGGAGACCAAATGTGCCGCTACAGCCACAACCTGTTGCTCCGCAAGATTATCGGAAACTATGTTGTTGCAATACCGAGGCGGGTTTTTACAAACTTCAAGGCCTGCCTGAATGTATTAATATTGATTTCTTATAATAATTATGGTTATGAAAGGCATCGCTCTGATTACCGGATTATCGTGAGAGATTTGCACATTTTCTAGACAGGATTCATCCTTTGCACGGTGATCTGGTCGATTATGGCTGTCGTGAGGCCATTTCTGACCTTTGCAGCTTTTTTGTTTGGGGTGTCCGTGTTAAAATTTATGGTAAGTTGACCAAATTATACGAGGTTCTCTAATCACTTCAGCCCTTGATCCCTATCACCGGGCTCCTTGCCATCTGCGGAATTTGTGCTGCGAGCACGAAAAAGCCGAGCTGCATGCAGATGGTCATTGTTCTTTTTGTAGGTGCCGCGTGAAGAACATTAATTTTTTTCAGGGTCTCTCGGTGGTAATCGAGCTTGTTGCCGGGGTATTGTGGTGCCTTGAGATGTAGGTGTGATAAAAACCTTATTAGGTCCTTTTAGTACCGAGATCCCAGCAAATAAGGTGGACGCTGCGCTTTGGAAGGCTTTCGGGCACGTCGGCTTGGCCGGTAAGCGCTTTTTGACTTTCATCCACGATAGCTTTAGGTAAAATCGTTTGGATGGTGCTGAACGGGCTGGTCTCTCTTTTCTATGGCTTCGCCATTGAGTCGTATTACAGCTATCTTAGGTAAGGAATGATTGAAAATCCAAGAGAAAGAAAGCGAGAGAGAGAGAGTGAGAGAGCGAGAGAGACAAAGTATTGATAATTGGATTTTGCATTTAAACAAAATTAGATTAACCTTAATTTACCGCTAGTAAATTATATACTTTTAGGGATCGTCAACTCAAGATAGAGATTGACGGTACCAGCCTGGTCGGGCAACAGATGGCATACGACGACAGGACGTATGGAAATAAGCTTCCAGGCGGATTCGCTTAAAAAACACTCATCTCTGGGTCGGATACTTTTCGATTGTCTTTATAAACTATAATAAGGATTCATGATATCCCACGCATACGCTGTGCCCAATTTCGATTGTTGTTTTGTTTTAGCGTGCTTTTTATCCAAATTGATCAACCGTTCGTGTTAAAACTGATGATAACTTCGCCTTATACCTAATACTTGGCGATAAATGCTATACATTTGCTATAAAATTTCCACCACAAGTCAACAGCTAATTTGGAATGAATAAACCATGGGGTTTCGCTCACAATATCGCAGCTTTTCGCAGTTCGCTCATAAGCACAAAGTGTTCATTGCCAGAAAAGGGCCGGAAATGCGATAAGGACCTCGGAAGCTCCCTAGGTGGGCCGGCCGCTTTTCCTTAGCTAATTCACCATCGGAAATAAATTATGTTATTTGCAAGCCGATTAGGAAATAGACTTAGCGGAGGGCCGGCCAAGATACCTCCGATTTAAAAATGTGTCTTCTGATGTCTCATGTTCTGTGCACTTATTAATGCGTCGGGGTTTTTAATAATTTGTTGTTTTTCCATGTTGTTTCAATCCGTCTAAATCTAGGTGTATGACGTTTTCCCAAATTTTATGGCCAGAAAGTAAATATGGAACATTTTTGTGGTCAGGAAGGTGCCCGGAAATGCGATAACAGCCGCAGCTTTCCTTAGCTAATTGCGGCCTTTCCTTCGTTCATTTATTCAATGGGCACATTTCACTCTCTCTCTCTCTCTCTCTCTCATATTCTTTCTCATGATCTTTCTCTTAGATCTTTTCCTTCTTACACCTGTTTTGCAGCTGATTCGAACACTATTGTTCATATTTAATATCGTCAGTTTTGATACGATATTTTAGCTACGATAAATATGTGCTGCGGTGTATGGCTGTGGAGACCGGATGTCTCAACAAAGCCGCATGGAGTTGCGCAGCCCGACTATCGTCGATTTTTCTGTTGCAGCTCGAAAGTACGGTTTTGGTTACGTTATCGCGAG